TTTTTTTTTTTTTTTTTTTTAGCTACAAGCACAAATAGATAATCTGTGTTCAAGAATACGGGCTAAAAGATAACAGAGAGAATGGTAGAGAATCCGTCCATTTGGTCATATTTTGCTTGTTGAAAAAACAGAGAGCTCTGCTTGACCCAGCACAGCTCAAGTACTAAAGAGATTCTGTGATCTGAGCCCACACTCATCTATGAAAATGATTAGACCAGAGCTGATTTCACTCAATCTACTAATAGAAGCCTTGTAGAAGAGAAAGCCACTCTAAGACTCAGACCACTGGACACTTAATTGTAATCTCACATGATGCTGGTCCTTAGAGCCAGTGGATTTTTCACCTGGCATGTAGGTATGGTCTGCAGAGGTGTCTGCAGACCCTCGGGGATTGCATGTAAATTTCTGTGTGCATTCCATAGAAAGCCTCCTCTCCTCCATCATGGGGACATGGGGAGAAAACTCAACAATTTATCACTGACTGTGTCAAACATGATATGAATAATGTTTCTATTCTCTCAAGAACTGTACAAGAAAATTGCTCATTTTGCAGATAGTAAAAGTAAGCCCCAGAAAGGTTCAATGGATTGCAAAAGTGTGGGAGCCGTGATTTGAAGAGTACGTTGATTTCCAAAACCCTGTGTGCTCTCCAATTCATGGGCCAGAGCTATACCTTGCTGGCAGTGCCAGTGGAAAACCTGGGTGCCTTCAACATATGAATTCTTAGTTCTTTAGAAACAAAGTACAGAGATTCAAATGAAAACCATTACCTAGGCATACTATGCATTAGGAAGTAAATCATACTTCTGTCTACATCTGGCCTAATGACTCGCACAGCACTCTTCCATTTGGACAGAAACCCTCTTCAGATGGCTCTCCAGTGCTGTTCATAGGACCAAAACCTCCAGAGGTGAGGACTGTTGCCTTAGGAAAGTTTTTTTTAAAGACTTATAAGGAAAGGTCTGCATGAGGCAAAGACTGGTGAAGCCACTGAGAGACTGTCTGGGGAGTTACCCCAGAAAGGAAGACCATCTCCTTCAGCAGTGTGATTGACTCCTCTGAGAAGGCTCGCCAGTTACTCCCGTTAGTTACCCCAGCTGCTGTTAGGCTGGGTGTTCTTGATTCTGGTCCTTAGAGCCAGTAGATTTTCACCTGGGATGCAGGTATGGTCTGCAGACCCTCAGGGATTGCATGTAAAATTCTGTGTGCATTCCATAGGAAACCTCCTCTCCTCCATCATGGGGACATGGGGAGAAAACTCAACAGCTAATTATCAAAAGGATCCACAATCCCTACTTTTTAATTTTTTTAAAAATTAATTTTTTTATGAGTACATGTTTGCAGTACACAATGATTCTATTCACTGTGGGGAGTTGATACATGTACAAAGCACATCTTAATTCTTTTTACTTCTTCCCCTCCGCTCCCCACTCCCTCCGTTTTATTTATATATTTATTTATTTACTTACTACTGGGGATCGAACTCAGGATGTTGCTCTTGCAAGGCAGGTGCGGTGCCACTGAGCTAAATCCCCAGTCCCCACCCTCCACATCTTGGTCCCCTTCCTATTTGCAAAAGATCTATCTCCCTGGACCCTCACTTAAATAAAAACACCAAAATTAATTTTTTTCTTTGCGGTATTTTACCACTTCTACCCTACTAAATTTCCTAAATTTTGCAGAGTAAACTGAAGCCCAGAGAGGTAAGAGTCTTGCCCAAAGTTGCACAGCCAACTATATGATGAGTAGCACTCCGTTGGTCAAGAGACCCAGGTGGGAAATTGTTGCCAGCCAAAAATGAAATTAAAGTTAAAATCCCATATGAAATTGTCCCACCCCTCCAAAACTGGTAAGAACAATTAAGTTCGTACAAACTGAAAATCGCAAACTTGTAGACTTGACTTCATCAAATCAATCGTGATAAATCTGACTAGACTAGATATACGGATTGTCATGTTAAATGACTAGGACTACTCAAATATATGCTTTTTCCAAGAGACGTTTTATTTTCCAGGTAGTACCTAAGCAACCTACACTTTTATTGTTTTCCACAGTGTAGAACTTATCTTTTCTAGTAGGGGTGTTTGTTCTGAATAAAGACAATAGGATGCACCCACATAAACGACATATGCAACCATTTTCAAGTCCAACCATAGAAAATCCTAAATTGCTTGTTATAAGGGAAATCTGAATTGCTTCCTCAGGATACAGGTAGGGGTCACTAAAAGGATATTTTTCCTACTTCTAGAGCCCAAACTCTAGCCCTTCCTTCCCTTTCCACAGCACGCTGGCTTCCCGGTAGAGTCGCCCATTCCCCTTCCCGCTTCCTGTGGGCTGGAATTCCTAGAGCCGCGGTATAGCTCAAGTTCCAGTCCGAGGCTGGTTAGCTGCACTGCCCCGCGGGCTGGAGGTGAGGGCGTGGAGGAGCCACACCTTTGGGTCAGTGCAAGTGACACTGAACTTTCCCCACCGGATGCCGGAGGCCGCGGTGGAGGAGGGAGACCCTGGCGTCCTCGCACCACCTGTCGGAGCCCCCGCCCCTTCCCTCTATTTTCTCACACTTTTCATTTTGACGCAAATAATGCACATTCTGAGAATTTCACGGTCACGCCGAGACTCTTTCCCACGGGCGCACGAGCAGGTGCGGTTTAAAGAGCCTAATGGGTGCCCAGAAGTAAAGGCTGGCGTAGGGTTGCAAACACCTGAGAGGTACTCCGCGGAGAGATGGCAAGGCTGGCTGCGGTCACAGCCGGGAACTCCCTCGGCTTCAGGATCTAGCTTCGCTGCTAGCGTTTGCCCAGCAGCCCGCGCCAGCCGCCACGCTCGCGTCAGTCCCGCGCGCGGCCTCGAACCCGCAGCCGGGAGCAGCTCCCGCCCGCCCGCCTGAGTACTCACTTTTGCCGGGGAGCAAAGTCTGCTCTGTCAGGCCAGGAGCACTTGCCGGGCGAGGACGTGGGTACCCATGCTGTGCCACGCTGTTTCCTGAACAGCCGGTAAAATCCAAAGAGCGGCTGAGTAAAACAGAAAAAGGAAGGCGGGGAAAGCCCAGCCCAGAAGACCGGGGTCTGGGGATTGCAGCCTGCGCTCCAGCGTCCTCAGCCCAGGTGGCTCTGAGAAGCTCCGCTAGGTGCACTTGTTCACTCTTTCTTCATTAGAGGAGGAGTCAGTGTTGCAACATTTCTGTTCCTTGCTGGAGGCAAAACAGTGATTTTCTCCAGCGTGCAAAATGCCCAGAGCCTGCCAGTTTGGCAAAGTGACAGATGCAGCTGGGGGAGCAGGAATGAAGAGAAGATGTGGACGAGAAGAAATCACTGCTTTTTCCTAGGTTGGTTTTGCGTGATCAGGGTCATACATCTGCCATTCAAACCGCACCCCCAAAATACATAAAACAATAAAATGTCGGATGACCTCAAAGATGATAATTTTCCAGGTAGTGAAGATGTTGAGACTTGGTGTCAAAATTCTTTCCTTATTTCGGAACGATATTGAGCAGCATCTTGACCGTACCTGAGAAGAGCTGCAGAAATTCGATTCTGAGGAGAATGAGGCACAGAAAGAGAGGCAAAGGGAAGAGCCAGGGACCTAAAGAGGTTTTGCTTTCTTTTATGATACCCAAAGACAAAGCTTCTAGGGTACTGGGTTTTTACTCTGCCATATCAAAATAATACTGAAACATAGGTAGTACCTAAGTAACCTATACTTTTATTGTTTTCCACTGTGTAGAACTTATCTTTTCTAGTAGGGGTGTTTGTTCTGAATTTCATTTTCGTTTTGATAGTAACACACACACAACTACCGCCGCTTTTTCTCTTGCAAAATCCATCATCTTTTCTCTTGCAAAGAAAAAAAAAAATACAGAAACAAATACTACCTGACTCAGTTACCCTGAGTAAGTACTTTGCTATTCTGATGCCATTTGTTAATATTGCATCTGACTGTTGCGTAACCCAGAGAGAAACCAAGGACCTATTTTAAACAAAGGCTATTGAGTTTTTAAAAAAAAACGTCATTGGAACACTTGGCTTTTCACTTTTGACTAACACTTTACAATAACTGGCAAATCACATTCAGCAGTGGCTATCTGCCAAGCCTCAGGAAGTTTGAAAATCCCATGATGCTTTGGTGATCATTTTGGATTGGAAGCCAGAGACACCAGCATAGACATCTTAGCCTAATGCTTCCTGTTCAGTGACTTACCCTTCTACAGTTTAAACCCAGACTCCTTCCAGTTTTCTTTCTTGCACAGCCTGTCCGTATTTCGTGCGATGATGGAGGCACATTTACTTTTGCTTATCAGTGTGAATAAAGGTATGCAATTCACTCATTTTCAAAACCAGTGGGTGACATCTTCACTGGCAGAGTATATGCACACTTCTGGATGTAATAGTGAGATTATGTCCCTCTAAATTCTCATTAAATTGAAAATATTGTAAGCAAAAAATGCATTTACTGAGCATCATAGCTTAGCCTAATCTGCTTTAAACACACTCAGATGCTTACATTAGCCTACATTTAGGAAAAATTATCTCACATAAACTTCATTTTAATACAGTGGTTGTATAAGTATGTATTTATATCATTAAGAGTTGAAAACCTTAAATAAAGCCATCGTGGGTTGGGGACTGTGTATTTATATATATTACCTTTGGAAAGCAGAGGATTGTTCAGTTCTGTAGTTTTTTTTTTTTCTGAAAAGATTCTTTTAACAAATAGTGAAAAAAATCACCACAGAAAACTCCAGACTGTGACTCTTGGAAGGCAGGGGCGTTGCTTTTCTTGCTGTGGTTTCCACTCAGCTACAGACTGTTCAGTTCATCTGTACTCATGGCTTACAGAAGGTAACAGATTAGTTGTGTAGTGACTAATTCACATGTCCCTGGGAGGGAGGGTCAAGGCTAGCTTTCTGCTCAGATGTGCACTGTGCCTAAGTCACCAGTGTTCACTTGTCAGTGAATTATTTTGCTCCAACTGCGATGATGGAGGAAGTTGGTGCTGATCCTCACCCTCATCTGTGCCCCATAGTTATTTTTCATTGCCTCCTCCTCTAAACAGTGGCAAGCTCTGCCCCTCTTCTTGTGTTCTCTTCTTGTTCCTTTCTGCCTCTGTCTTGGTGGATGTTTTCTTTTTCACATAGATGACTTCCCTAGCTGAGCCATAGACTTCATATCTGCTCATTGCCACGAAGATCTTGTTTCACGTTTCAGTAGAGAGGAAAGAGCCCAGCCGTTCTGATCAGATTGGGCCTTTGCTACCCACATGGCTTCTCTGAGCTTCATTTAATCAGTGTAAATGGAAGACAGTTACATACGCCCTCCAAATCCAGAAAGATGGATAATAACGGCGAGAGCACTTACAAAATGCCTGCTGTGTAGCAGAAAGCTAAGAAATTTTAAGTTCCTTGTTTTTCCTTCCCACTTGTTGCACTTTTCTTGCCTGTTCAGTCTTTTCTGCCCTATTGGCTTCTTAGTCCAACCTACAACTTTCTCACTTCTCCCCTGACCCTGATAAGCTTTTGTGTAGCTTCACAACTTAGTTCACGCCTTCCTTCCTTTGGCAAAGTTACTGAGAACGGCCTACTTCTATCAGCTTTCTTCACCTATTTCCCTCTCAGGCTTTGTGCGTTACACACCCTCGGCTGCATACACCACCCATGGAATGGACATTCAAAATCACTGCATGCAGGTGTTCCTTGCAGATTTTCCAGTTCAAGAGATTCAGGGTGAAGCTCTGACATCTTTCTCTATGAAGGTGCACAGGCAGCTGCCTTTAACCCTTTCCCTTGCTTTCTCCATTACAACTCAATTACTCTCTAGGGAGGGTCATTCAGGCCTTTTCCCAGCCTTTGCTGCCTCTGCACACCCTTTCTGGCAGCGCCCTTCCCTGTGTTTTCAGGTTCCAAGCCTCCTTCTGTCTTTCTGTGGCATTCTCATGATTTTTTCCCCCATAACCCATCTTCTTTCTCTTCCTCCTTAAATGCAGATAGTTTTGTTCTATACCTTAATTTTGCTCTTTAAAAGATGTTATGATTTAACTATAAAATGTTCCCCCAAGGTCTCACCTGTTTAATAGGTATTGATTGGACTGTGGGGTTACTCATCAGTTGATTGATCCATAGCTGAATATATTGTGAGGAGGGCCTGGTTCTAGGAGGTGAATCACTGGGGAGTGTAACCTGAGGGAATAAGTTTGCCTCCAGCTCTTCCTCTTCAGTCCTCCTCTTCTCCTCCTTCCTCTCCACCTCTTTCTCCTCCCCTCCCCCTCCCTCTCCTTCTCCTTCTCTTTCTTTCTTCTCAGTAGCCATGAGCTGAGCAGATTTTCTCCATAATGCCATTTCTGCCTTATAGACAACTAACCATGGACTGAACCCTCTGGGTTTAAGAGCTGAATAAACCTCTTCTCCTTTAAATTGTGTGTGCTGTGTATTTTGTCCCAACAGCAGAAAAATGACCAATACAAAAAATTACCTTTCTTTTTTAAATACAGATAAATTACTGAAAATATTAAAAGAATAAAAAATCATCCCTCATCCACCACTACACCTATAAGGTAAAAAGTAACCTAATTCATACATACTTTTTCTTGCATCTAGTGCTATTTTCAGAGGAAACCATCATTAATAAGTGGGTGCATATCTGTCCTTTTCCTTATGTATAAATTATAATATCTCTATATGCACATGCATATATTTTAGAACTCAAATTGCAATCATTTCTATGACCTATTTTTAAAAAGTTTCATGTAAAAGTCTTCTGAATTTTCTGTCTCCCTTCATTGTATCTATTACTGAGAGGATCTTTTTTTTTTTTACTAATAGATCTTTAATTACTCTATGATACATTTTTAAATTATAACTGTGATAGAAATTTAATTTTCTTCTGTATTCACTGTCAGTTATTCTTTTACAACTCATTGAAAACTCCCCAAGATTTCTCCACTAGTTTCTTGTGCTATGCACCAAACATTGCATTTCTATAGTTATACTTACTCTGGACATCATTTTGTTTCATTGACATGCATATTGTGTGCCACAAATGCAGTTTTGATATTATAATTGTATAAATAGTACATTATGCTACCTATTTGTGCAATCTCTTTCCTTATAAAATTTTCATAATAAATGCTATATATTTATTTTTCATGAAATTTTAGGGTTATTTTGTCCAAATGACAAATTTCTTTGGCTTTATTTAATCTTCGTATATTAATGTGGGTGCAATTGATATTGTTAAGGCATTAGTTCTTTTCAACCAGGGTATATATCTCTAATTTGAAAGGTTTAGTTTTAACCTTCAAAATTATACTTAATCTTATAATGTCATTATAATCTTATTGCACTACAATTTACTTTAATCATTTCATATTAGGAACATTAGGTTGTTCTCAAGTTTTTAATTTTATAAATAATGTTACAGTGAACACAGCTATGAAAAATGTGGAAAGAGATTTTGCCTTCGGGAAATTTATTTCCTTAGTCTCAAGTTACAGATGAGATATAATTAGGTCAAAGGGTAGGCCTATTTTTACAAGCCTTGAGCTTATCTTTTTTGATGGCTTTAATGTCCAATGCTCTCTCTCTGGCACATTTTATATTCAGTCAGGAACCAAGGCCTCGACTTTTTTTATTCCTTTCCCCTATCACCACCTCAGTGTATACCTTCATTGTTTACTTTTTCTTCTTCAGTAGCTCCCTAGCTGGGCCAACTGCCTACATCAGACTCAAATGCTTCCCTGTGAAATCGGATCTATATTAAAAACTTTAATGTTGCCTACTTCCCACAAAATAAAGCTAAAATATCTTTGCTTCTGATGATTTTATTAGGCTTTTGAACAGTGACTCACTAATTATGTATTGTGTGTTTGAATCTAGTCTTCCTTCCTTAGAACACCGTTTCCCCCCTTCACACGCACTTAATACCCTCCTGGTTCCTGTTCTTCAGGTCCATGTGTTTTCTTCTTCAAGTTGTTCCTGATTACTCTGGCTCTGAAAGCTCTCTGCTTGCTTCTGCCATGCAGCATTTGTAAATGGGTTTGTAATACATCTGCTGTCTTCTACTTCAGGGATCATTGTGGGGCTGATATGAGTGGCTATGTGTGTGTGTATATTTGGTAAATTATAAACCATTTATAAATATAAGGCACCACCAGTATTAGACCATCTTTCCTTCCTTCTAAAGAAGTCTACACAGTGGGTAGGTAAAGAGGCTAAGTAAACCAACCATTGTGAGAATGTGAACAGGAATAATTTTCTCAATGGGGACATGCAGTAGGAAGATGCTAAAAGAGCTGGCCTGTTACCTGATCAGGACTTATATTTCCTAAACCCAAGGAGGGAGGACAAAGCATGCTGCACAAAAGTGCAGTGGTTGTTACTGTGTAATAGCTAC